AACCGAGCAACAGGAGGCCCGCACCTCCAAGGCCGGCTTGGGAGATAAAAGTCGGAACGAATGAGAATACTAAACTTGATCCACTAACCAATGATGCTATAAGGATAATCCACCTTAAGACCGGTTCGTGTTAAGCATAAACGACTGCCTGACAACTGATACCTTGCGAGAACCTCATCCTAAATCTGCTCATTATCGCCTGCGACAGCACCACTCTCGCCACTGATCCCAAACACAGCATTCACGCTACACCAAGGCAGCTACTCTTTCAATGGCTGGCTTCTGGAATGCATAGACTGCCAACTCTACTTGAAGTCTTGAACCCTATTGGCTCTTATTAACCTTCATCTGATCGAGCAAGCAGCCACGCCCCGGTATTGCACCCTCCATCATCTGGGCTGTAGATCAGCGTAGAGTGAGGTGCAGTTGGCTCACAGGAGCTTGCAGCGACCCACTGCTCATGTGCCTGCTCTTGAGCTCGTTTTCTCAGCGACCTGACACCTGACTGGCCTCTTATGCCTTCTCTAGCAGTCTGCCTGCAGGTGGGTATTAAGGACCCGATGAGGTTCCTCACTTTCCTGCTCATTTCCTCCCTCCCTCTCCTCCTCTCCCTCCCTCCGCTCGCTTACATGTAGAACTAAATGCAGAGAGAACAGAGAGTGTAAGGTGCAGCTATGCTGAAACTCAAACAGGTGTGTACACAGATCATCTACCTGGACCGTAGGCAGCTGATTATCTGCAGTTGCAGGCTTCAGGGTTGGTTGCAAAGGTGGGAATTAGGCGGATATGTCAAGGGTATCTCAACAGGTTGCATTGTTGGTTGATCGTCCGGAGAAAACAATAATAATAATAAAAGGAAAAGGAAAAAGACAAAACAGGGTGCTTCCATAAATGATAGTGTTCCTCCCCACCCCTGCCCCCCCCCTGCCCCCCCCAAAAAAATAAAATAAAATGGAAGGAGGGTCGTCTATTGCAGAAGATGGTCTGAACGAAAATCAGGATGATTCTTCTGCAGTGGAAACTGATCCCTTCCATGGAAACCTTTGGGCCATCACCGATGGAAGTGGACTCCACCCCTCCTCCAATAGACTTTGACATGGAGGATACGACTACTCAGCCTGAGCCTGGGATTGCGGAGGATCAAAAGGTTGTCCAGCTGGCAGAATGGCTGCTTAAAAATTTGAAAATTAAATTTGGGGAAGCTTCTGTGGAATTTTGGGATGCTTCATATGTCCAACTTGTCTCATTGCTCACTAGTAGTCCCAATTTCAAGAGATTATTACAGGATGGACTACCTGGAGGGGTGCAATGGGCCATAGTGAGCCAGCGCATTTTGAACATTGTTTTGGGGCTGTTCCATCCTCCCCCCCTTCACTGAAGAGGTGACATCTAATACAGGTAATTGTGACTCCAGAGTAGTTGCATTACCTGTGATGTCAGCAATGCAAGGGTTGGGGTAAGACACTATGGATGAAAAGCAGACAGACATTGCAGCCTCTTAATCAGGGGTAATAGAGGTTGAGGCAAGACAGTATGGATGTAAAGCAGACAGACATTGCAGTCTCTCAAGCAGGGGTAATAGAGGTTGAAATAAATGAATTAAATGGAATAAATGGAGGAGTCATAATCATAGAAAAGGAGGAGACTGACCCAAAGACTGACACGGAAGACAGAGGTTCATAGGAGGTCAGTGAGAAGGAACAGCTAGTCTCTTATACTGATCTACAGGTGTCAGCTATGGATGGGCCAGGTAGTAGCAGTGTAATTGCTGATCAACCTGCCTCGGCTTCTTCACCTGGGCATCAAGGGAGATCATACAGCGTGATAAGGGCAAATCTTCTTCTACATAGGCCAAGGGGGCACAGGATCCAAGTAAGCGTAAAAAACTGTGGCTTATTTTGGAAAAAGGGCAGGCATAAGCGTAAAAAACTGTGGCATATTTTGGAAAAAGGGCAGGCATAAGCGTAAAAAACTGTGGCATATTTTGGAAAAAGGGAAGGCATCAAGAGCACAGTCCCCTGAAGGAAATTTGGTAGTACCGATGAGAAAAAAAGGGGGGGAGGTGGCAAATTGGTCTTTCCCCGATTGGGCAGGATCAATAGTGGGGGTTTACATTAAGAGGATGGAGCACACCTGTAGACTACCAAACCTCTGGGGACAAAGGGCTTTGCATGACTTCCTTTCCAAACATTTTGGCCCAGGTTCAAGCCACATACACAGAGAGAGGTGAACAGGCGAGGATGATCTAAAAGGGACACATTTGTGCGCTTTGAGGATAACAAGGAATCGGGATTGCAGTGGTACTCAGATGGTACACTGGTAGAACTCCAGCAGTTGAAAATCAAAGCCAACAGAGTGTGGTCAGTACAAAAATTTCGTCCTTTTTGTGTTCCATCCTACGTCAGGGTACACTTAAGAGGCCTCAGTGTTGGATGGGGTCAATCGGGTAAGACTATAAACATGGCTGATGCCATTGGACCTTTGGATTTTTTTCAGGATAGATGGAGGCGCTACAGGCTTTTTATGGTAAGAATCCATCCTTGTGGTGTGCTTCCCTATCAGCATATTTAGATCTAAGGTCCCTTAATGTCAATGGATTGCGAACAGCAGATGCTGTCAAAAGGACGTCGATTACGGAACAACTCAAGGGGGTAGGAAGGCGTTCATGAGCCCGGGGATTTTAGACCCGGGGATCGAAAGTCCCTAGAGTATCATGGCTCACTCTGATTCAGCCCAAAGCCAAGGGGGGCCCGGGCATTTTAGACCCAATGTTACAATGTTAAACACTTATCCTTTAATGGTTAACTCGACTGTAGTTGATCTTCCATGGCAAGCAATGGCGCCGGAGAAAATCCATCGGTTGGTACCAATTTCTACAAAAGATATCCACCCTCTTACCTGGGTGGAGGATAGATTATGGACTATTCCTCGTGCTCATCCTTGCTCTAGTAAAAGGGAAGAGGGGTCAGATTAGGAGGGACCTTGTTCTGGACAGTTTCTGGATTGTTTTTCTGAAAGTTTGGCGTAAGATCCCTCTACCCAATAAAGCAGCTCCATCTAGGTATGAGGAAGTCCTTCGGCAGCTCATTTTTGGTAATCATGAGGATCAAGGCTTTATGGGATCCAATTTTTATGCACACAACCTGAATGCCAATCTAGACAATGGAAAATGGTGGAGCAATCAAAAAAGGAAATTAAGTATGCAGTACTATGCACACAACCTGAATGACAATCTACATCAGATTCTTTCCTCAATTCCCTTGGCTTGGTTGGTTACCTTAAAGAAAAGGCTCACCTTCATGAAGGCTGATTGGGTCTGCGGGTATTGGCCTGATGGTTCACAAATGGTAGGACAAATTTTGGACATTCACCCTGACGGGGCCTTAGTCAATGTCTTTCAGCTCCGACGAGATCATTCGTTATCTCAACAGCAACGGGAGTGTTTCTTTTTTCCCATTCCATTCCTTTTATAGAATCAGAGGGTTGTTTTGTTCATCCTCTAAAGGATGGCGGGTGTACTATCCTCACCTTCCTATCTTTGAATTACCTTTGGATCCAGAAGAGTGGGTTTGGTGGGTCATCAAGAAGGAATAAACCACAGAGGTTGCAAACACTAACAGTTAAAGCATGGTATCGTTTATTGTGGTCTAGAGTGGATGTTCCGGCCAATGCGGCCATATTGCAGGGTAAATGGGCTTGTCATGTTAATATCTGTTTCAATTCACTTAGGCCAATCTAATGGTGCCAAGGATTTAAGGAGAGACTGGCTAAGTTTGCTTCCCTGAAGTGGCAGATTTCTCATAGATGCCTGCCAACAAATGATTGGTTAATAGAGCATTCGTCTCTGGAGCAAAAGGGTTTGGCGCTACCTTGGTGTCAATCCTATGTTGAAAGTTTTCCCAGCAGGAAATTCAGGGAAAGCATAGAACATATTTTCCTGCAGTGTCCTGCCTCAAAGTTGTTGTGGAGGAGATGGGACCATGTATGGAATACTACGACTGGGATGACTGGCCTTGGGACTGGCGGCCTTAGGAAGGTGAAAGTGGACCTCGTGAC